CTGGGCCTCCCTGGCAGCTCTGCACAGATCCTGCCCCTGCACATCAGCACCGGCTGGGCACCGGCCACCCGGCCCTGGCCATCAGCCCCCTTGTCTCGGTGCTTGAATAATTGATGGCGGCGGGTGCATGCAGCCGTCTCGGGTAGGAGGAGGTCTGGGCATGAATCTTTCATGTGTTTGTGCCTCCTTGGAGCTGCTGGGGACGGTCTGCGGGAGGTGGGGATGCACTGGGAGCCTGGGTAGGCAGGGACCATCCCCAGCCCTGTCCCCAGGGGGAAATAAATGCAGCGGGATGGCCCTCGTCACAGGGCAGGGGAGCACCACAGCAGCTTTCTGGCCCTGGGGAAGAGCAATGCGCTGCTGTGACCCCTCTCCCGAGGGCCAGGGACACCCCAGGTGCCCTCCCCAGCATCACCTCCCCTTGCCATCACTAGAAGGATGCCCAGGCACACAGTGCCCACTGCAGGTGGAGGACGCGGGGACACAGGACAGCAATGTGACCTTGGCTCCAGGTGCCTGGGCACGGAGCAGGATGGCAGGAGGCATTTTGTCCCTGCCCTGCCAGCCCCGCTCCCAGCATCCCCCCTGCCTGGGGCTGAGGGGCTGCAAGCAGAGGGTGAGGGGGAAGCAGACAAGAGTGCAGGCAGCAGGGCAGAAGCAGCTAGCCCCTTCCCGGTGCCACCGTGCCCGGGCACAAGCCAGCAACCCGGTGTCGGGAGGCAGAAGGGGCACGGGGAGCGCTGGGCAGCCCCAGGAGGAGAAAGAGGCTGTCGCCCCATCACGCAGCCCCAAGCGGCGGTGCTATATTTACCCGCCTGCAGGCCTGGGTCCCAGCCTCTCGCCTGTAACACAAGCCCTGCAGCCCGCCAGAATCCGAGGGGACGGCACATTCCTCAGCAAAAATAGCCCCCTGGGCAGCAGGCGAGAGGGCAGGGGTGGAGGTGACTGACTGGACAGCTGCACCCACCGCTCCGCTCACCAGGGAGCAGCCCTCCCGGTCTGCAGCGCCCCGGGACGGGGGCCCGCTACGCGTGGCCACCACGCCAGCCCCCTGCCCAGGTGTCTGGGGGCAGAGCTGGGAGCTCGGGTCCCCGGCAGCTGCCCGTGGGCTGGCCCCGGTGCCACCCTCAGGGCCAAGGAACGGACACAGCCCCAGGGTGCATGGCTGGGCTTGGGGACTGGTGGCTGCACAGCCAGCCCCCCCGCCGGCCCTGCTGGCTGCGGGCATCCTGAGGGCCAGGTCCAGCCCCGTCCCCCCTGCACTGCCCAGCCCCAGGGACCTGTCCCTGCATCAGCTAAGACCAGCACCCGGGGTGGCACAGCCAGGCACGGTGCCCACCCCACGGTGGGGCATGGCAGCCTTGCTGCATCCCAAGCTCCTCCAAGATGCTGCTGTGCCCCGGGGCTGGGGGGCAGCCAGAGGCAGCAAGGGGAAACTGAGACAGCCCCAGAGAGTCCCACAGGAGGGAGGAGGTGGCAAAGGGAGGCTTTAGGTCCCGCTCAGTCCCTGAGCAGGGCTGGCAGGGGCTCCAGAGGGAAGGGGCAGTTGGCATTAAATATGGGCATGGTGCTGCAAAGCAAGGGACTAAAATTAGGCACTGAGATAAATGGACAGAGGTGCTGAGCCACCAGGAACACTGTCAGCGCAGCCATACCCACCAGGGTGCCATTGCCATTGCCGTGCACCACCAGCTGCAAAAGCACGCCCACGCTGCCCCGCTGTAACTCTGGGCCGGACGGGAAGGGGCCCTGCAGGGCCACCACGCACAGGCAGCTCCTGCCCCCTTCCCTGCCCTCAAATCCAGGCGGGTGCAGGCTGTTCCCTGGGCAGAGGAAAGGTTCCAAGACGGTTTGATTGCTGAGTGCAGGTGGAGGCGAGCGGAGCAAGACCCTGCACTGGGAGCCTAAGACGGACACATCCAACCTTGAAACAAGAAGCAGACCCTGCGGGGAGGATCAGGCAGCACTGGCACTGCGAGGGAGGGCTGGGCTCTAAAAGGAGATTAGCTCGGGTTCTTAAGAGGTGATTTAATCTGGTTTACGGGGAAAAAATTCAGGAGATGCAGCTGAGAGGTGATACAGGCTTTAGCGAGCCTGGGGGCGATGGAGACGTGGTGGGGACCAGGGCTGGCTGGGAGGGTCTGGAGGGTCCCTGGATGGACCTGGGAAGCCCCTGGACCAGCCTGGTGCTGGTGTGAGAAGGGCCAATGCACCCCACCTGCTCCCGTGGAGCAGGGCACAAGGGAGAACCTGCAGCAGGAGAGGGGCAGAGCGGTGGGACACAGCAGGGACGGCGTGCCCCTGGGAGCCTCTGCGCCCGGCTGCCTGGCCAGACCCACATGTGCTCTCCCCGCTCCCCACACCAGGCACTGACGCACTCGGGGGACCTGGGAGAAGAGCAGGAGAAAATCATTAGTGGGATGGAGCGACAGATTCAGGGCAAGGGATTAGAGGAGCTAAATCGGGCTCGTGCGAGCAAGGGGGAATGCTGAGCTGGAGCAGGAGGAGCTGCCGGGGCCGAGCGTGGAGCTGGGCAGCACAGAGTCCCCCCACCCCACCAGCAGCGACCTGAGCCACCTTGGGAAGAGCTGATGCTGGCCCCACAGAGAGCTGCAGCCTGGCCCGTGCGCCGGGGAGAGAAGGTGGAGGACCGGGCTCTGGGCCCACCGGAGACCATGACCCGTCAGAGGCAAGCGGAGCAAGGGCACCCCAATACCTCCAGACACTGGGGGCCGGGACCCCGAGCCCAGAGAAAGACCTTATCCTGCCCGGGGACCTTGCACACATCCCCCTTGCCCTGTAACTGGCCGATGACCCAGCTCACAGGGCTCCCCAGGGAGCAAGGATGGGGTGTTCCTGCCTGGCACAGGGACGACACAGACACCAGTGGCACTTCCATGGTCCCTGGAAAGCTGAGTCTCGGCAGGGAGCACGGGTTGCCCCTGAGCAGCCAGGGACTCCATGCTGGAGGCTGGCGAGCCACAGCACACGTCCTGGCAGGGTATCAGGGCAGGCGGGTGCAGAGCAGTGGCACGGCTCCTCCATTTCGCACGATGACCTGTCTCACCGCTCAGCTGCCAGCATGGAGAAAATGGCCTCGGGGTAACAACACTGAACAACCAGAGCCCTGCAACGGGGCCAGGCGGTAGGGCTGGACCCCCCACCACATCCCATCACCTCCACACCAGCACCCTTCTCCAGCACCCAGCAGGACACGGTGCTCCCTGTGCACTGCTGCTGCACACTGCAGAAATCATTCTGCCCTGGGGCAAGGGCAAAGCCACACCAGGGGCTGCCACGCTCGTCGCCCAGCCTGGTGCCCTGGAGCCTGGGTGGCTCCCGAGGCACCTCTGTCTGGGACCGGCTTTTTGCTCGATGGCGGTGCACCCATGGCCAAGCACCTGCCAGGAGGAATGCCCGGGGCAGGGTGACATTCACCCTGAGCATTAGGCAATTCTGGTTGCTCCGTCCCTCCCTCAGTTGCTCCAGAAAGGCAGCAGCGAGGGCCGGCAGCTGGGAATCGGGAGCAGGGACGAGTGCGTCAGCACTACAGGAACGGGCACCTGGGGAAATCAGGCGGTGCTGCACCGCTGGGCAGAGGCGGGGGGCGCGGGCCGGCGGTGCCATGGACAGGTGCTGCTGCACACTGGAGTGTGAGAACAGGGTCTCCCCCTGCCCTCAGCCCCACAGGACAGGCTGCTCTCGCCCTGTGGGGCAGTGCACGTCTCCCACTCTCTCTGTACACTCAGCGCCATGCATCCGACTGCACAGTGCCATGGTCCCCAAAGGTGCAATGCACAGTGACCCCGCGCAGACCCGCTGCAGGGCAGGACCCCTCCTGCACACTTCTCTGCTCCCCCTCTCCCCCCACCAGGCCCACGAGCACCACATGCACCTTCCTCCACCCTCCAAACACCACTCCTCCAGCCTCCCAGCTCACACAGAGCAACACCTCCTCTTCCTCCATTGCTCCCCTTCAGCACTGCAAAGGGTCCTTCTGCCCCCCACTGCCACCCAGTCCCCCCCTCAAGGCGCAGCATCTCCAGCATGCCTCTCCTGCTGCAAAGCCCCAGGTGCAGCTCCTTCCCTGGAGCTTCGGGGCTCAGCACCGCCTCCCTCGCTCCCTGCCCTCGCTGTCCCCACACAGACAGCACAGCTTGCATCTTTGACCAGTGTCACCAGCCAGCACCACACGCTCCCCAACACCCAGGTCTGCAATGCCCTAGGGAGGTGGCCCCAAACCTGCCTAGCCCCTCTGCAGGATGAGGCTGACCCATGCAAGGACCCACAGCAGCCCCCATGCACTCCCTGTGCACCAGAGCAGCATGCCCGGCTGCTGCACCCAGCGGCGATGAGCAGAGGGGCTGCCATAGGGCTCTAAGGGGCCAGCAAAAGCTGGTTCCACCCCTGCTAATTAACCATCAGGCCACGCCCACTTCAGGGCATTGGCTCCACCCACTTGACAGCCCCACCTCCAGCAGTGTTAGGCTCCTCCCACTGGTCCCAGTTCTCCCAGTGCAGCCCCAGTGCCTGGCACAGCTGTGATGGTGATGCCAGGGGCAGCTCTGCCCACGGGCAACTGGTGCCCGGGGGTGGCTTGTGCAGGGGCACCGGGGGGTACCGGGGACCGTGTCGGCGGTGGCGGAGGGTGGTACCATTGGTGCCGTGCACCCAAGCCCCATCTCTTTCTGTCTCTCTCCTCCTGCCCCAAGCAGGCTTGGCATCACATGCTCCTGACACCTCCATGCCCGGCCCTGGCACCCTGCCTGGCCTGGCAGTGGGTGCTGCAGCCACATGCTTGCTCCAGGCCAGAGAGCTGCCCCGGCACTGCCAGCACCGGGCACCCCAGCCTGCAGTGGGGCACGCGCAGCAAAGCCGAGCCCTGGCTGGTGCCATGCATGCGCTGCAGTGGGAGCCTGCAAAGCACTGCTGCCATCCTCAGCAAACCCGTGCCCACGGCTGTGCCGGCACAGCCCTGCCAGTGGCCACGCTGCCCTTACCTTCCATGTCAATGATGGCCAGCACGGCGCTGGTCATGGCCTCTCCCCGCTCGTTCTCAGCGATGCAGGTGTACACGCCGGCATCTTCCTTCTTGCTATCCCGGATCCAGAGGGTCCCGTACTCCTCCTCACGTGGGGCCAGCAGCTCCTCGTTTCGGTACCAGCGGAGGCTGGGCTGGGGGTTGCCCACTGCCACCACCCGCAGCCGGATGTCGCAGCCAGTGCCGATTGCCGCATTCTTCAGCTTCCGTGCAAAAAATGGTGCCACCGGGCGAGCTGGGCCCTCCTCGGGTGCCCCCGGCTCCGCCGTGACCTTGGCGCGCTTCGGGGGGATGCCAGGGCTCGGCGGGGCTGCTCGTGGCTCCCCACCGGCCCTACTCGTGCCGCCGCGTCCCTGTGCTCGGTGCATGGTCTGTAGCTCCCCTGCCCACGCCCGCGACACTCGCCGCCCCGGGCCGGCAGCACCGTGACCCTCTTCTTCCCCTGCCCGCAGCCCGGGGGTGCTGGGTGCCTGCCAGGTGTGCTGGGGCAGAGGTGGCCCCCCGGTCCAGGTGCTGTCCGGTTCGGTGCCTCCCCCCCGCCGGCTGCAGCCCCGAAGGTCGCAGCGCCGTGGGCAAGCGAGGGGCTATTTTTAGGCAGGGGCTCGGGTTGCTGCTTGCCGAGCCACCACTCCCCGAGCGCCCGGGGCAGTGCGGGCCCCACACCCCCT